GTTCTTCTTCTTCTTCCCCTTCCATGTCATTCTTCTTTTTCCTCTTCCATGTTCTGTACCAGAGGACTGGCACAGGCATAACCCCCCCCCCCCGTGCCACATACAAGGCTCTGGGCAGGCCGTCCTCCTCTCCTGATTCCTTGCACGAGGCCTCTCCCTCCCCCTCACCTTCCTCTCGGAAGTCCAGGGCCTCCACCGTCTGCTGAATGGGGATGGCCCTCTCATGTCTGTGACACACTCTTGGCTTTTCTTCCCCCAGGTGAAGCGCTTCCTCCCCCCTTGCTTCCAAAACAGCCAGCATATCCACATCCTCCACTTCATGGCCCTGGGGAGTAAAACACATAAAAATAATGCCCCGACCGGTGTAATACCTAAATCAGATTACTGCAATGCGCTCTACATGGAGCTGCCCTTGAAGACTGTCCGGAAGCGGTTGCTGGTACAGAATGCTGCGGCCAGAGCATTGACTGGAGTGCGTCGTAGGGACCAAATCACTCCAGTCTTGTTCCATCCAGTTTGTTCCAGGTTCAGTTCGAGGTGCTGACATTGGCCTTAAAAGCCCTGTATGGCCTGGGACCAACATACCATGAGGACCGTCTCCTCCCCTATGAACTTGCCTGTTCATATAAATTGTGTTGGCCTTTCGCTATTGGCTGTACTTTCCCCTGGATTCCACCTATGAAAACTGTGCTACATTCTAGATGCAACTCTCTTAAATTGCAACCAGGTGACTTCTCGAGCGCGGAGCTGGGACTGCTATCAATTTGAGGCATCCAAATCAAGATTATCTACTTGACCATGGGCACTCTTTAAAGAAACAGCCCACTCCTCCCGTGGCTGTCTGGTAATGGTATGCTGTGCTCCACCTTCCCCCCCAGCCCACTTCACCAACCTTGTTCAGCTCCCGCTGTTTCTGGTGAAGGTCCCGACACTTGCAGCGAGGGAACACCTTTTGCACCAGCCTCTTCACGGCCAAGTAGTCAACGGTATCCGCATAGATGTGTCTCCTCAGCTCGTGCAGATCCTCACCCTGAGAAGGTAACAGGCCAGTGATGAGAGCGGGGAGAAAGGTGGGGAAGGAGACAGCACAGCCTCCTGTTGCCAACTCTATCGGGGGAGAAGACGGTGGACGTCTGATCTGATCCAAGTCCTGGGTACCATAGTTCATACCCTTCTAATGCTGCCTCTCAGACAAGCCGAGGTGACGCCGACGGAATACGTCTGACCCTGCAGCTGAACAAACGCTCTCCGACTGTGAAGTGTGTGATTAAAAAGATATATGTTGTCCTCCCTTACCTCCATAAATCATTGTTAGTCCCACGTTGAATGAGTAACTGTAAATCGCTCAGAGCCAGCAAGCTCTGCAGGATTGAGCGATTAATAAATTGAAAGATATTATCATCATCATCATCATCATCATATTATTATTATTATTATCTACATCACAGGTGTTTTGCCTATGAAATATTTTGTGTGTGTTTTATTTCTGATTCAATGTGGGATTTTAAAGGTATGTTGCTGTGGCTTTAAACGCAGGCCTTTAAGGCAAGAAAGAAGGAGACTGGTTTCTTCAGAGGTTTTGTGTGCATGAGAGAAGGAAAGAACTGAGTGGGTGAAGTGATTGAGTGAGGCACTATGGAAAGTGACAGAAATCAGCGTTCTTTTAGCCTGAGTGGCAAATGAGAATAATTCCTTTGTGTGGAAGTGAATAGCCTAAAAGTATCAGGTGAGTAAAATAAGCCTTTGTGGCTAGGTCTGTTTAAGGAACTATATTTATTTTATTTATATAGAGAAAGGAGGAGAACTATACCTATCTTGAAACCATTACACTTATGAACCATACTGAATAAATTCTACTCATGTTTAAGAAAAAACAACTGTTTTATTTAGAGTAAAGGATCCCTTTTTACCTCAGAGCCACGTCCACACACTGACAGTTCTGACATTTTACCATATACAACTAAGCCATCCTGTTCTTTGGGTTCAACTAAGAAGTCTAAAGCAAAAGCCATTGGTGGCAGTGAAAATAAGCAGGGAACGCTAAGGAAGGCAAGGAGGCAGCATACCACATAATCTCATAACACTACAGAGAGGCGCCATTACATACAATGGAAGAAGAAGTGTTGGTTTTTATACCCCGCTTTTCTCTACCTGAAGGAGTCTCAAAGCAACTTACAATCTCCTTCCCTTCCTCTCCCCACAACAGGCACCTTGTGAGTTAGGTGGGGCTGAGAGAGTTCAGAAAGAACTGTGACTACCCCAAGGTCACCCAGCAGGCTTCACGTTGAGGAGTGGGGAACCAAAACCGGTTCTCCAGATTAGAATCTGCTGCTCTTAACCACAACACTACAGTGGGTGCAGTCTCAGAAAGGGAACGAACAGTACACGCTAAAATGCTGCCCGCATCTCCTTGGGATACAACTTGCAATGCAACTACATACAAACATTGCAGTGACCTCTAAGTAGGAAGAAGGCCATTCTTGGTAGCTGCCCTGTAACTGCAGAACTTCTCTCCCACCCCCAGAGGTTCGAGGTCATAAAGTCACAGTTCCGACTCTGCAAAGGTGTTTTTGTCTGAGTTCAGTTTTTAAATCAGCTGGGGTTAAACAGGAGTGGAGGAATTTCCATCCATTTTATACCACTGCTTTTAACTGGACATTATATGTCATCTTTGGAGTGCTGTAGTTGCATTTGCTTTGCATCCCTGCCCCCTTCCACGACTTCTCTCAAGCAAAGATGCAGAACAGGACCACCTTATTCTGAACGTGGAACTTCTGGCTTCTTTGCACAGCTTTTGAAGTGCACCTCATGAGAGCCTTGCTTTTAAGCATGACACAGGAGGGCTTCAAGCCCTCCTACGGTTATCGCCAACGGCACCAGGCAGGCCTTACCTCTGGATGCAAGAAGAGGTGGCAGTGGGCTGACTTGCCATCTCGTCCTGCCCGCCCAATCTCCTGTACGTAACTCTCAAAGTTCTTGGGCATGTTGTAGTGCACCACGCCGCGCACGTCGGACTTGTCCAGCCCCATGCCAAAGGCCACCGTGGCCACCACAACCCGCAGCTGGCCAGACATGAAGTTGTTCTGCACACGACGGCGCTCGGCCGCAGACATTCCGGCGTGGTAGGCATCGGCGATCCATTTCAAGGGACGGCGAATGCTCTTTTTAGCTGGGTAGAGAGAGGGGGACAGAGCACAAATGCAAAGCTTGTGCTGCAGCCACCCTAAGCTTTTCAAGACGATAGTTCAACGTGCAGACATCTACTAAAGGGGGAGAAAACGAAGAAGCTCCCGCTGAGCTGTGGAGTCTTGTGAGAAGAAATTCTACTTTGTGAGCTCCTGGCATTACAGTTGTGAGCAAGCGATTTGGCTACTGCAGCATAAATTAGTTTGCTCTGGAGCCCCATCCTTTCTGAGCTAAGACAAAAAGGCGTGTTGTCGTTGTTCAGTCGCACAGTCGAGTCCGACTCTTCGCGACCCCATGCGTGAGCCGGAGGCTAAAAAACTGTGAGCTAGCTCACACTAACTCAGCTAAGAGGGAACACTGGTGGCAATCTGTTTTGACAGAAGGACCTCTTAGGCAATCAGTTGAGCCTTGCCTGAAAAGAGCCATTTACAGGGCCGCTTTCTCCAGCGTCATCTGGCTTTCTGCCGGTACCCGCACCCAGGTCCTGATATTCATGCTCCACCTCTCCGCAACAGTGGGGCCCTGATGTGTGTACCTCCCTGCTTTTAAAAACGTCAAGATAGAGAGAGTGGAAGTACGGACATAGTTCGCTTTGGCAGCTGGGCCACAGCCTGCACGGGGCTAGCAAGAGCATCTGGGTGCCGGTAGGACGTCACCCCCCCCAAGAATTGTATGTGGCCCTAGAGAGGTGTAACTAATTGTCTGTAAACTGTTCAGAGACCCTTCGGGGTCAGAGCGGTATAAGAGGTATAGAAATGGAAAGATAAAAATAAATAAATAAATAAATAAATAAATCTAAATCACCACCCAGCTAATTTTACCCTGACCTGGATGGCCCAGGCTAGCTGGATCTCATCAGATCTTGGAAGTTAAGCGGGGTGGACCCTGGTTAGTACTTGGATGGGAGACAACCAAGGAAGTCCAGAGTCCCTGTGTGGAGGCAGGCAAGGGCAAACCGTCGCTGAATGTCCCTTGCCTTGCTAAACCCTGCACGATCACCACAAGTTGGAGTGACTTGAGGGCCCTTTCCACCACCATGGCTTAGTCAGGCTAGCTGAATTGTTATTGTGACGACCTCTTATTTGGGGAGGTCTAGTTTTACTTTTAAAATGTTCTTTATGTTTGCTCTCAGGGTAATCTGGCTGCCACCAGGGAAATTTAGGCTTTCCCACACCTTTTCTATAAGATTTTTCCTCTCTGGGTAGGTATTGTGACCCAGGGTCTGGGCTTTCGAAGGACCATGTGTTTCCTGAGGAATTTTGTTCAGAACTTGTGTCTTAAATAAAAGTAGATTTATTTGCTGTTCATACACTTTTCCCTCTTATTGACAGGGATCAGGGCATGTCACTTTGTAACAGTATCTTCCTTAGGCAATATATGGTTACTGTTTCTTTATGCTTTAACTTTTTATAACACACACAAGACTTCTCTCTCTCAGACCTTAAAACGAACAAACTGCTTAACTCTTTTATTACACAGAACCCAATCTTTCCCTCACAGGGACCTCAGGACAACTCTCATATTAACGCCTTTTATACAGCACTCTCTGCTGTCTAACTCCTCAACTGTCTTTTTCAACTCTCATAACTCTAACAGACACCCTTCAACTGACACTCTTGACTGACATATCTTATCCTCCCTCCCCCTCTCTGTCAATCACCAATCACACCACATGCCTGTCCAGCATTCTACATTATCATCACACAGCCATGCAAACCACTTTTAAAGACACAAACACACAAAACCTGAAATCGTTACAGTTATCTTTTCTTCCTCTCTTGGGATCCACTCTGGAATGTGGCAGGCTGTAAACAAATGCAGCTTAACTCAGGGACGAGCCCCATCTGCGTCACCCAAAAGAGTGATTAACACTTGGAATTCACTGCCACAGGAAGTGGTGGCGGCTACAAGCATGGAGGGCTTCAAAAGGGAATTAGATAGGCATATGGAGCAGAGGTCCATCAGTGGCTATTAGCCACAAGGTATAGATAGGGACTCTGGGGCAAGGGATGCTCTGTCTTCTTGGTGCTTGGGGGGGGTGTCAACAGTGGGAGGGCTTCTAATGTCCTGGCCCCACTGCTGGACCTCGTGATGGCACCTGGTATTTTTGGCCACTGTGTGACACAAAGTGTTGGACTGGATGGGCCACATTGGCCTGATCCAACATTGGTGTCTCTTATGTTCTTATGCTGCTACTGTCGGCTCTCGTGCGTTCCTAGCCTTGGTCCCCCCCCGTCACCTCTGCCTACCCTTTGCTTTTTTCCTCCTCCCAGCGTCGTCGTCATCTTCCTCCTCCTCCTCTGCATTTGCGGGTTCCTTCATCTTGACACCCTGGAGACACGTGCGGATCAGTGCCGCGATCCGAGTGGTTTCCTCCCGGCGCGTGCAGTAAACGATCACCGAGTCTAAGCTCCCAAACCTCTCCCCTTGCAGCAAGCTCACTAGGGCCTGGAATTGTAAAGAGAACCAAGTTGGCCTGTAGAGGCTGTACGGCCTTCCCAGATACTGTTCCAAAAAAAGCAGAAACTGCTAGGAAAAACACCATCAAAAAACTCCAAAATATATAAACTCTATTTAACAACGATAAAGTTGGTGGTGCCACAACATCAAAATAAGTGCATACAAATACTATAAACGAGGCACAGAGTACAATGTTTCCCCCTTCAAAGATAAATATAAGTCCAAGTAGTCTGTTCAACTCGGTAGGAATCCATGTTTTCAAAACATTTTCAGCAACAGCCTTCGCAAAAACCCCGTTCCAGATACTTAGAGGAAATGTTTCCATCAACTTCTTCAGTTTGCCGGCTGTGTAGTTGGAACCCGATTTCAACAATTTCTCCTGACAACAAGGTTCATAGTGTGAAGAGCGAATCGCCCGACCCCGAGTGAGCAAGCAGTGGCCATAAGAGTCAGAGACCATTAGCAGGAGCTCAAAACGGCTCCAGAAGGTGCCTTATAGTGGAGTCTCAGTGGCATCTGGTCCTTGCCGGCGGCTCTTTACCCAGGGGGTGGCCTGGAAAACTCCAGAGGTAGGAGGGATGGATGGCACTGGGCAGACAGGAGAAAGGGGGTGAGCCAGGAGGAAGGACCCAAGAAACAAGCAAGGGGAGGAGCCAAATAAAAAGGAAGGAGTGGGTCAAGGGGAGGAACTAAATAGCTCTGTTGGAAGACAGAGGTGGTGCTCAAGTCAAGCCAAGCCTTTGCCTCTCAGACCTGGAACAGGACAGGTGCAGGGAGAGCAAGAACGTGAGCCCACCAGCCAAGAACCTCAAGGCATGGTAGGGAACATTGGCGTGGGGCTGTCAGGAATAGGCTGGTCCCAATGATGTCACTTGTAACCCGGAACTAACACAAGGAGCTTTGCTCGTACATGGAGCTGTGTACTGGACAGCCTTGGGAGGTGGGAGAGCCTTCCTCCCTCTCCCCATCTCTTTGCCCTCTTTCTTTTCTCCTTTCCTTTTCTTTCCCTCGTCTTCCTTCCTTCCTTTCTCTCTTTTCCTCCTTTCCTTCTCTCTCTTTCTTTCTTTCCCTCTTTCTTTCCCTTCTTTCCTTCTCTCCTTTTTCTTTTCCCCTCCTTTCGTTCTCTCCTTTCTCTCCTTCTCTCCTTTTTTCTTTGTTCTCTCCTTTTCCTCTTCCCCTCCTTCTTCACGTCTCTCTTTCTTTCTTTCCCTCCTTTGTTCTCTCCTTTTCCTCTTTTCCTCCTTTCTTCCCTTCTCTTTCTTTCTTTCCCTCCTCCTTTCCTTCTCTTTCTTTCTCTTTTTATCCCCTCTTTCCTTCCTTCTTTCCTTCTCTTTCTTTTCTACCTTCATGGCACACCATTCAGGGCCAAAAGCAGCAGCAGGCAGGCTTCTGGACAGCCATTATTTACCAGACAACCTGCTAGAACCTCCCCCCAACCCTCAGGGACTCAGCATGAAACCCCTGGGACAGGACAGGGTGACCACTAGAAAGCCCCAGCCAGATGTATATGGCAGTTGGAAATACTGCAGGGTGTGTAAGAAGGGAATGCCAAAGGGCTATTATCCAAGTAGTGATGTCACTTCATCCAGGGCTCCGTTGATTGCATTTAGGCCCTTCTTTCCTCTGAGGAGCTCAGATCAGAACCTTATCCTCTCAATGATCTCGTGATGCAAGTTTACAAAAGAGAGACGCCCAAAGCCACCCAGAAACTTGAAATCTAAACATGTTCTGTCCAGTGTTCCCTCTAAGCTGAATTAGTGTGAGCTAGCTCACAGGTTTTTAGCCTCTGGCTCACACATTTTCCTCTTAGCTCAGGAAGGATGGCTCCAGAGCAAACTAATTTAGGCAGCAGCGAAATCGCTTGCTCAAAACTTTAGTGCCAGTAGCTCACCAAGAAGACTTGTTGCTCACAGGACTCCACAGCTTAGAGGGAGCATTGGTTCTGTCTGTAGCCCAGCACTTCAGCACCTACAGCACCATCTTTCTGGATATCCCCCTCCAGGGCTGCAGCTATTTCTGGGTAGGAATTAATGAGCTGTTAAATAGCTTGTAAGAACAGAGGTTGTCCATCTTGGGCACCGATCACACACAGAAGTAGCAGCGCGAGAGGCACGCCTGCTGGGCGGATTTTAACGGCGCGATCACACGGGGACATCTGGCAAGCGTCCCGTACCCGTCGGCAACCCGTCTCACTCCGCTGAAGACGCGGAGTTTAAAAATACCTGGGGAAATGCAGTCTCAAATGGGTTGCGACGGGCCGCAGACGGAGTTTCCCGTGGATTGCGTCACTGATCCCTCGATGAAGTGTGCCGGAAACACGCGTTGAAGAAACAACCCTGATTCACCCGCTGCTGCGTCTGATCACACAGTGGCAGGTCAAATTACTGCGGCGCAAATAGGCTCGCTTCCCCCCCACCCCCCGCATTTTCCAGCACGTGTGACCGGGACCTTGGTTAGAAAAGAAACTGGTTCCACTGCATTTGTTTGCTGAATTCAGTCAGGGGTGAGTATATTCAGCACGAAAGGGAAAATCTCGAAGCAGAAGTCTGCAGCCCTTAGAGATTACGCAGGTCAGGCTAACCGGTGTGTATTTGCTTACTGGGCACGGGTGGTTCTTATTCTGCTAGTCACAGGAAGATGAAGGTGGAAAACCCCTGGTCACTCACACGCCTACACAGTTCCACTCTGACACCTAAGATTTTACTATCAGCGTTCAAGGTTATTTCTTAAAGCACGAGGGCCGCAAAGTCCACTGAATTAAAAAATGAAAGAAGCCCGAAAGCAGGCGGGGTGGAGAACTTCAGACTTACCTGGTCCTTGTCTCTGTCTGTAGAAACAGACAGATGTAGGTTTGGCGGGACAGCCGCAGAGCGCACAGTGATCCCCTCGCCCTCTGGGATGCCGAGGTGATGAGCCACGTCCTGTGCTGTGGACACCGTGGCAGTGGCCGTGAGGCCCAAGAAGCAGCGCACGCCCAAGCGGTCCCGAAGAACCTGTGAGGCAGAAGAGGCAGCGGTCAGGACAGAGAGAGACCACACATATTAGACTGAATCTAGCCATGAGAAAGGAGCTGCGGTGGCTCAAGTGGTGAAGACGCTGAACTGCAGGCTGTGGAAGGTCGGTAGTTGAGCAGTGCGAGACCCGAGTGTGCCGCATGACGGAGTGAGCTCCCGTCTCTAGTTCCAGCTCCTGCCAACCTAGCAGTTCGAAAGCAAGACATTGCAAGTAGATAAATAGGTACCACTTCAGTGGGAAGGTAACAGTGTTCCGTGCACCTTGGCGTCTAGTCATGCCGGCCACATGACCATGGAAACGTCTTCGGACAGCGCTGGCTCTTCGGCTTTGAAACGGAGATGAGCACCGCAACCCTAGAGTCGGACTCGACTGGCTTTCGAGCAAGGCGACCTTTACCTTACTTACTAGCCATGAGAAAGCACCAAATTTATCTGTACAACATGAAAATCCCATTACAGCATGCACCTGACCAAGTGAGGTGGCCAAAGTAAATGCATTAACTGTGGCAGAATTTGGGATTCAATGAGCCTCGACCTTTCTACTCTTCTGTGCTATGTAGATTTTGCGACAGCTGACTTCTTTTTCTCGGTTCTAAAGTCCCATATGCCTTTGCTCTTTTGCTGGCAGCCCAGGTGTAAAACTAGAACCTTGCCCTGTAGATGTACCTTTGCCTGAATTCACATTCCACGGCCTTCCAAGTGCCAGGCTCCAAAGCCTAATATACTGAGCAACCAACCCAGGGGCTTGAGGTGTATGCTGTTACTTTGTTTTCAACCGGGTTGTGTAATTTTGGTACTTGCATTTCGCGTGGGATACAAGCATGGGATCCAGTTCCCAGGAGATATGAAGAAGAAGAAGAAGAGAAGAGATTGGATTTATACCCCGCCCTTCATTACCCAAAGGAGTCTCAGAGCGGCTTACAAACTCATTTCCCTTCCCCTCCCCACAACAGACACCCTTCTGTGAGGTAGGCGGGGCTGAGAGAGCTCTTGACAGAAACTGCTCTTTTTCAAGAAAAGCTCTTAACAGAACTACGACTTGCCCGAGGTCATCCAGCCAGGTGCAAGTGGAGGAGTGGGGAATCAAACCCGGTTCTCCCAGATTAGAGTCCGCGCACTTAACCACTACACCAAACTGGCCTGAGGCATTCTTTTGCTGGATCACTGCCCGGCAACGAGGCGCTGAAGTGGAGGCTTTACAATCACACAAAATCCATTTTTAATTATCAGCTCCCTTCCCCCCCCCCCCCCCCCCCAGCTCTGTGTGTACTCACAAAGGCTGCATCTCTTAAACAGCCAATATGCATCAAATCAGGGTCTTTTGAAACCAGAGTTTATTTTCTATAAACAGAGAGGTGCCAAGTGCACAGCCCCACCTAGAAGATGCATCACCTGACTTAGAGCTTTTGCCCCAGATGTATGACAGTCCTTGTAAATGTCTTGTGGTGAGGAAAAGCACTCTAAACGTGCTCAGAATTTCACACTTCATTATATGCCTTCAGGAACTACACAGAGGGATTGCTGGATTCGAGTCCAGTAGCACTTTAGAGACCGACAAGATTTTCAGGGTATCCAGAGTTACAAGTTTGAATGGAGATTTCTGAGCCCTTATATCCCCACCGAGGAGCTCTGGTGGCTCAAGTGGTTAAGACGCTGAACTGCAGGCTGTGGAAGGTCGGTAGTTCAGCAGTTCCGAGACCCGAGTGTGCCGCATGATGGAGTGAGCTCCTGTCTCTAGTTCCAGCTCCTGCCGACCTAGCAGTTTGAAAGCAAGAAATTGCAAGTAGATCAATAGGTACCACTTTGGTGGGAAGGGAACAGCGTTCCGTGCACGGCCTTGGTGTTTAGTCATGCCGGCCACATGACCACGGAAACGTCTTCGGACAGTGCTGGCTCTTCGGCTTTGAAACGGAGATGAGCACCGCAACCCTAGAGTCGGACTCGACTGGCTTTTGACAAGGGAAACCTTTACCTTTTTATATCCCCCCCCAGTAGATGGGAAGAGTGTTGCCGAGAAGGGACTCGGGATGCAGAGGTACAGTACACATGGTAACCGGCTTGATTAGAACAGAGCAGAAATGCTCTGGGACAGAAAACTAGCATCTGCAGTGAGGGATCTAGTTCTTTAAGAACATTCTTTTGTGTCCCTAGATGAATGGTCCGGGCTGGCCCAAATTGTCAACTCCTGGAAGCTAAGCAGGGTAACCCTTGGTAAGTACTTGGATCGGAGGCCACCAAGGACGTCCAGCGTTGCTACACAGAGGCAGACAATAGGAAGACCCCTGAAGTTCTCTGCCCTGTCCTGGATGGCCCAGGCTAGCCCAACCTTGTCAAATTTCAGAAGCTAAGCAGGGCCAGCCCTGATTAGTACTAGGATGGGAGATCACCAAGGAAGGCCAGGGTTGCTACGCAGAGGCAGGCAATGGCAAGCCACCTCTGAGCATCTCTGGCCTTGAAAACTCTATGGGGTGGCCGTAAGTCGGCTGCGACTTGATTGCGCTACTTTCCACCACCACCAGATGTGTACCAGCGGCTGTGGGAAAAAGCCGAGAGTCTCTCTCACGTCTCCTGCTGCCCCCTCAGTGAGTGTCATCCTCACTTCTGTGACACGGGGCTATGCAGAGGGGCCAGTCCTCACCAAGACATTCCTGGCTGTGCTCACGATCAGTGTTCCCTCTGAGCCGAGTGAGTGTGAGCCAGCCCACAGTTTCTTAGCCTCCGGCTCACAATTTTTTTTGTCTTCACTCAGGGAGGAGGGCTCCCGAGCCGACTAATTGATGCAGCCGCCAAATCGCTCACTCACAGCTTTAATGCCAGTAGCTCACATAGTAGGATTTTTGCTCACAAGACTCCACAGCTTAGAGGGAGCGTTGCTAGGGACCTCTGTTCCATGCCCAGATGGCTAAGGGCATGTCCATAAAAAGCAAACTGCAGGTTCCTCCAGCCCCAGTCTGATTCAGGCAGCTTCATGTCATGTGCAGAGTTTCCTCTAAGCTAGCTCACCATTTTTTAGCCTCCAGCTCACACATTTTTGTCTTAGTTCAGGAAGGATGTGGCTCCAGAGCAAACTGATTTATGCAGCAGCCGAAACACTTGCTCACCACTTTAGAGAGCCAGTTCGGTGTAGTGTAGCCAGTTTGGTGTAGCCAGTTTGGTGTAGTGGTTAAGTGTGCGGACTCTAATCTGGGAGAACCAGGTTTGATTCCCCACTCCTCCACTTGCACCTGCTGACGTGACCTTGGGTCAGTCACAAGCTCTGGCACAGTTGTCCTTGAAAAAGAGCAGTTTTTAGTGACAAAAATAAGGGACTGATCTCAGCACATTACGACTTATTGCAATCTGAATCGAATTGTAAACCATTGCCTTATCAGTCAGTCTGGCAACGAGATTGCGATTTGATTCTAAGTGATGAGGTATGGAAAAAAATTTGGAAACAAAAAAATAACACTCCTAGCGCAATATCAATAGATTTACACAAATTCAAAATTCTAACCAGGTGGTACATGACACCTCAGAGACTGTCTCACATAACATCTAACTATTCGCCAGACTGCTGGAAGGGTTGCAAAAAAATAGGGACTTTTGCGCATTGCTTTTGGGAATGCGAAAAAAATTAGTTCATTCTGGAACGATGTACTGCGACATATCCACAATATCTAGGGTATACTTACTCCAAAGTCACCTGAGACCTTGTTTTTAAATCTTTGGTCAGAGGAAATAGCACATCATCACTATAGAGACATGTTGGACACAATGCTGTATACGGCTAGGCTATCTATAGCATCTTGCTGGAAAGATATCTCCCCCCCTAACATTCAAACTTGGTACAAGAAGCTGTGGAATCAGTTCATTATGGAAAGCATCACTGATAAAGTTAACAGAAATAAAAGGAACATCTTTTTTTTTTCCTCCTCCTCCTCCTCCTCCTCCTCCTCCTCCTCTTCTTCTTCTTCTTCTTCTTCTTCTTCTTCTTCTTCTTCTTCTTGCCAGTCGCTCACAAAGTAGAATGTTTGCTCGCGAGACTCCACAGCGTAGAGGGAGCATCGCTCACTGTGTGGACTCCCAAAGCCACAGCTGCATGGGATTGCAGTCAGCCAGACCGCTCCCTCTGTCGCTTGCTCCAGTCTCCCATCCCAGGGTGACACAGCCTGCACAGCCTCTCCTCTGTTACAATGCGGCCCCCCCTCCATTGGCCCTCAGGCTTCCCGCAATACAGAAGTGCCATACCTTGCAGAGCCGCAAGTAACAAGGGCGGAAGTTGTGGGACCACTCGGAGACGCAGTGGGCTTCGTCGATGCAGGCAAAAGCCACCGGGGGGAGCTGATCCGCGGAGGGGAGGCAGCTGGAGCCAGAGACGCCGCCCCCAACCAAGGCTTCGGGGGACAGCAGGAGCACGTGGACTTTCCCGGCCTTCACCTGAACACACATAAACACACATAAATCTTGGATCTTTTTTCGTATGCGGTGGACTTGTGATAAAGTTAAAAAGTATTGGTCCTGGATACATGAACCATTACAAAAAGTGTCAAAAAATACCGTACCTTATACACCAGAACTCTTTTAATTAAATATACTACCAGAGAATTGCAAAAAAAAAAAAAAAGACTTTCATTTTATTATACATGTAATAACAACAGCAAGAATACTATATGCCAAGCAGTGTTCCCTCTAAGCTGAGTTAGTGTGAGATAGCTCACAGTTTTTTAGCCTCCGGCTTACACATTTTTGTCTTCGCTCAGAAAGGATGGCTCCAGAGCAAACTAATTTAGGCAGCAGCCCAATCACTGGCTCACAAACTTTTAATGCCCGTAAACTCACAAAGTAGATTTTTTGCTCACAAGACTCCACAGCTTAGAGGGAACATGCCAAGTATCGGAGAAGAAACGAAATTCCCTCAAAGGAAGAAACTATAACTAAAATATTGGAAACAGCAGAGATGGACACAATTTAACCTCAGTCCTGAGAGGACATGACAAAGAAGACTTTGAAGATACAGGGTCGAGATTTTATAAACGGATAGAAGAGCACAAGACATTAAACTTTCGGACTTCTAAAATGAAAGGAAATAAAAGTTATATTATTAATTGTAAGCAAAAGGTATATAAGTAATCTATAAGATGGGAAAAGCAATTAATATATTCAGATTTTCTATGAGGTCATTAACTAGATCAAAATGATGTAAAGAAAATTCCCCATATGTGTATATTGGTACGTTTGTTTTTGTTTGTCTGATATATAAAAATAAAAATGTTCTTAAAAATAAACACACACGAAGCTGCCTTATACTGAATCAGGCCGTTGGTCCATGAAGGCCAGTATTGTCTACTCAGACTGGCAGCTGCTCCCCTGGTTCCCAGGCAGAGGTCTTTCACATTACCAACTGCCTGGTCCTTTTAACTGGAGATGCTGCCGGGGATTGAACCTGGGACCTTCTAGCAGGGAAAGCAGACGCTCTACCACTGAGCCACAGCCTGACTCTAACATTCCCCTAACAGTCCTTGGTTTCAGAGTCCTGCTCTTAGTCACTATGAAGGACATTGTGCATGTGTGCAAGTTCAAGATCATGAAATGGGGGCAGGTTTGGGGCAGCAGGACAGAGACAGAGAGACTGACTGGGTGGCCAAGCCGAGTAGTTCCGAAACGTCAACGAGGAAACCATTTGTGTGGGCCTTGAGAAATCGAGGTAAGCCCACATCGCAGGGCTGGTAAAATCTGAGGATGAATGGGAATCGCCAGCCCCTTCGTGCCTCTCCACAGCCGCACACCTGCAAACAAACAGCTCGGCCAGTCGCGTGCAATGATCACCCTTTTCCTGTCCAGCTGAACGTTCACCAAGGGAAAACTAGGACAGTCGAAAACATCTGAGATAATAACGCAAAATGGAAGACTGCTAAGAGCCCATTGGCTTGATAGTTTCAGGTGTGTAGCCATGTTGACCTGCAGTAGAAGAGCAGGGATGGAGTCTAGTAGGACCTTGAAGACTGACCAGATTTCTTTTAATTTCGTTTTCGATTAAAAGAAATTACAAAAGACTTGTCCAAGAGGAAGAATATACCATTGTCCCTGATGGGACAGAAAGGGGGAGGAGTTTTGGAAGGCTTTCTGTGTGGATGAATTGGTATATCTGTTAAGAGTGATAGTTACAGGTTTGACAGTTGATAAAGACAGTTGATTAAAATCAGTTAGAAATAGTTAAGTTCTGAGTTCTGTGAGAGAAAACCTTGCAGGATAGAAAAGAAAGAAGAGGATTGAACATGCCTAATTGGTACCTTTACTATCAAGCCGCCGCCCTAGCTTGGATTAAAGAATGGGCAACTCTGGAAAATAGGATACTCCTATTGTTAGAGGGTCACGATTTGTATATGGGGTGGCATGCATACATATGGTACGGCAAGGATAAAATTCATTCTAACTTTAGAAACCATTGGCTAAGAGATGCATTAAATAATGTCTGGAGTAAGATAAAAGAGAAATTTTATATGAAAACATCAAGGTGGATTTCCCCCCAGAAGCATTTATCAACCCAACATTACTAACAACAAACAAGAAACTAACTTACCAAACATTGCTAAATAGAGAAAATAAATTAATAATAGAAGAGAAGCTGTTAAGGGAAAACACACTATCATGGTGGGAACAGATAATGTTACAGGACAGATATAAAAAGGACATGCTAAGAGGATTCGAGGATAAAAATAATGAGTTAGAAAAAATTTGGCTGTCCTCGAATGATAAATTGATACAGAAAGTGTATAACTTCTTACTGGCAGATTTTGAAAAGGATGAGGAGGTGAAAGGAGTAATGATTAATTGGATGAAAGATATAAGGAAAAAGATAAGAGTTAGAGATGTGGTCCAAAACATGGTAGCGTCTGAGACTCTACAATATAGGTTAACATGATATTGGAATGTAAATTTTATAAAAATCAAATAACAATATTTACAAAAAAGACTGACCAGATTTCCTGGGGATAAGCTTTTGAGAGTCAAGCCTCCCTTTGTCATCGCTTTTAGGAGGAAAGGGGAGGTGTGGTAACTAGGCGGAGCCTCTACATGGCAGTGCATGTACCTAGTGCTAGACACACAACACCGTTTAGCGGTAGATGCTCTCAGGGTCACTGGTGGCAGCAGTTGTGCTACCCGGTTTGCTTTTAAGATTCAGACAGTCACTCATGGCCGCAGGGAGCAACGTGACGTTTACAGTAATAGAGGGGGCCTGGGAAGGCAGTTGTACATTTCCAAGTCGGTTGGCTCACCCTGTCCATAGCAGTCTCTCTCTGGGTCTTGGACATATTGGAGTGTACGCAGACTGCTTTAAGGCGCTGGGGGAGACCAGAAACCTGTGAGGGAAGAGCAGAACAGGCATCATGGGAAGGCCAAGAGGAGACACACGCAGCACAGTCAAGAGATCGTCATCCCCTCAGTCAATCGCTAGATGGCTGGCAGAGTTCAAAATTATGCTGTTATAATGTCATAGACATAGACAAGCCCAGAACTGACTGCATTGAGATCGGCTCTACTGCATCATGGTATGGATGCCATAAAGATCTTTGCTGAAATTAATGCACAACTTAAGCCATACTTTATAAACAATAGGCCCATAAAACCCTCTTCAGCTGTAAAGAGTATGACCACGAGTGTAAAGATCTTAAGGAGGTGCTAGTCCATACCATGAGACAAACTAGACATAATACAGAGGGGGCATTACTGTCCTGCCTTTTACAATGAAGAAGAAGAGGAGGAGACTGGATTTATACCCCGCCCTTCACTACCCAAAGGTGTCTCAGAGCGGCTTACAGTCTTACCTCCTCCTCCCCACAACAGACACCGGTTCAGAGAAGAAGAAAAGTTATAGGAAAGTCTGAGTGACAGACTGGAGAAACAGTGAACTTATAAGACCTTGAGTAAAGTGTTACAAAGTTACTTGAAAAATCCCTGTCAGTAAGGGAGAAGATTGTGTGATACAGCAAGCATTTGTTCAGTATTTAAGCCTTCCTGGTTACAATGATTTAATCTTTTATTTATGAATTACTTCAATAAATCCTCTTTTATTCAAATATGCCCGCTCTGAAAGAAATAATTCCTCAGAACCACATTAGTTCCTCGTAAGCTTTGGCCTCGGTCTACCAACAACAGTAATAGCTAAAGTAAAGTATAAAAGGTTTGGAAAGCCTTAAATTTCCTGGTGGCAGCCGGATATACCCAGTAGAACCAAACATAAAGAACACTTTTAAAGTAAAACCAGACCTCCCCAGTTAAGGGGTCGTCACAAGGACCTTGAAGACTGACCAGATTTCCTGAGGATAAGCTTTTGAGAGTCAAGCCTCCCTTTGTTACCGCTTTTAGGAGGAAAGGGGAGGTTAGGCGGAGCCACTACATGGCAGCGCATGTACCAAGTGCTAGACACACAACACCATTTAGCGGTAGATGCTCTCAGGGTCACTGGTGGCAGCAGTTGTGCTACCCGGTTTGCTTTTAAGATTCAGACAGTCACTCATGGCCGCAGGGAGCAACGTGACGTTTACAGTAATAGAGGGGGCCTGGGAAGGCAGTTGTACATTTCCAAGTCGGTTGGCTCACCCTGTCCATAGCAGTCTCTCTCTGGGTCTTGGACATATTGGAGTGTACGCAGACTGCTTTAAGGCGCTGGGGGAGACCAGAAACCTGTGAGGGAAGAGCAGAACAGGCATCATGGGAAGGCCAAGAGGAGACACACGCAGCACAGTCAAGAGATCGTCATCCCCTCAGTCAATCGCTAGATGGCTGGCAGAGTTCAAAATTATGCTGTTATAATGTCATAGACATAGACAAGCCCAGAACTGACTGCATTGAGATCGGCTCTACTGCATCATGGTATGGATGCCATAAAGATCTTTGCTGAAATCAATGCACAACTTAAGCCATACTTTATAAACAATAGGCCCATAAAACCCTCTTCAGCTGTAAAGGGTGGATGGTATGACCACGAGTGTAAAGAGCTTAAGGAGGTGCTAGTCCATACCATGAGACAAACTAGACATAATACAGTCGGGGCATTACTGTGCCGCCTTTTACAATGAAGACCTAATCAAGCAGAAGAAATCAAATCATACTAAACTACTCTGGAATGAGCTGGAACATGCGGTCATTGAAAAGAATGATTCTCGTTTCTGGGAATTAGTGTCTGATAAAAGAAGTGGCTCTCTCTGTCAGCCTTATTCGTGCCTATCAGGCAAAGAATTGGTTTTTATACTTTAGCTCTGTCTTTGGGAATGAACCTCCCATTTCTTCTACAGACGTAGCTAGTCTCCCCAAGTGGGATCCTGTCCTGGAATCTGAAATTAGAAACTTAATTATGCCACAAATCATTTCATCCAACCCATCCCTCTCCACTGATATCAAGTTGACTGCAAGCCCACACGGGAGCTACAGATAGGTTCCCTCCGCCTGGAAAGAAACAGCCACCTCGAAAGATGCTAAAAGGTTCAGAAGTCACTGGGGCGGAGCAACGGCTTGTGAGAAATCGGTCTGTGTGTGAGCTCCCACTGGGGACAGAGGAGCAGACCAGGCCACCGAAGGTTGGTCATCACAGCTGTGTAGGGCAGCAGAGCCCTGACGGGACAGCCCAGGCTAGCTTGTGATCTCATCAGTTCTTGAGAGCTAACCCCTGGCTAGTAGTAAGACTGAGCCTGACATGTCCCACCGGGCGTATGGTTGAGGACAGTGACGGTTAGAGAGATCAGCTGGCCTCCCTCTTTCTCCCCTCTTCCCCCTTCCTTTACTTGTTTTTAATTTCCATTCCTCCCCCTTGTTTATCTTATTTCTTTTTATCCTGCTCCTTCCTGTTTTGATCTTGTTGTTCAGTGGCACAGTAGAGTCCGACTCTCCGCGACCCCATGGACCGCAACATGCCAGGCCCTCCTGCCTTCCGTCGTGCTCTGGAGTTTGCTCAATTTCATGTCCGTTGCCTCAATGACACTGTCTAACCATCTCATCCTTTGCCGGCCCCTTCTTCTTTTGCCTTCAGTCTTTCCCAGCATTAGGGTCTTCTCCAGTGAGGGCTCCCTTCTCATTGGGTGGCCAAAGTATTTGAGCTTCAGTTTCATTATCTGACCTTCCAGGGAACAGTCAGGGTTGATTTCTTTTAGGATTGACTGATCTGATCTCCTTGCAGTCCAAGGGACTCTCAAGAGTCTTCTCCAGCACCATAATTGGAAAGCAGCTATGTTGTTGTTGTTGTTCAGTCGCACAGTCACACCAGGCCCTCCTGCCTTCCGTCGTGCTTCGGAGTTTGCTCAATTTCATGTCCATTGCCTCTATGACACTGTCCGACCATCGCATCCTTTGCCGCCCCCTTCTTCTGTGACCGTCAGTCTTTCCCAGCATCAGGGTCTCCTCCTATTTCCTTCCTTGCCTTTTTTCTAGCGCTTGTTTTTTTTAATCTCCTGCTGGGCCGTGATTTTCTCTGTGCTGGGCTGCTTCCCCAGTTACCCACCTGTGATGGATTCTGGGGGCGCCATCTGACATAACAGATTGATCGCTGGGTTTTTAACTTGTAATACTGGATTTTTACATTGTGATTTGTTGATTTTATTGTACATCTAACTGTTGGAAGCTGCCCTGAGCCCTGCTTGGCAAGGAAAGGAGAGGGATATAAGCTGAATGAATGAATGAATGAATAAATAAATAAATAGTTGGATGGGAGGCCGCTAAGAAAGTCCAGGGTTGCTCTGCAGAGCCAGGCAATGACAAACCACCTCTGAACATCTCGTGCCTTGAAAACCACATTGGGGGGGGGGTTCCACTGGAAGTCAGCTGTGACATGACGGCAAAAAAGGGGGGGTGGGCACAGCAGAACAGAAGTCTAAGGGCAGCCCACCACTGCCCTACTTGTACTAAAAGGAGATCCTCAGCCTGCGCGAATAAACAGTAGAAAACCGCAAACGAACAGTAGAAAAACACACAAAAATTGCTTTGCCATCGCCAGGTTCTGGGAGCCTACCCAAAAAGGACCAAATCAACACTTGGACGCCTGAAGCACTTTTCCACACCGTCCCTGCTGTGCTTGTGCGGAAAAACTGAAAGGCAGGTTTAAATGCACTTGTGTCAGGTTTGTAAACCAACTGATGGCTATGGAGGAAGAAGGATTCACATTCCAACCTTCCTGCGCTTTCCCAGGTCTGTGCGATTTCAACCGCTGCAGCCCCTGCGACGGCACTGCCGTGCAGGGAGCTGTCCACAGAGAAGCTACAAAGGGTGGTGCTGAAATCAGACGGGAGAAGAGCACTCTTGGGAAGCTGCACAAATGGTCGCTGGTGCAGAAGAGGCAAGAGAAATCTGGAACTTCACCCACCCACGGCTCCTGACTCAAAGAACTGGGACTGAATCTTCTGGGAATACTGTTATATTGGAGCTGGCGAGAACAAAAACAGAACAACGGCTAAGAGAAAGTGGTTCACTCCAGGAGCTCCCTGGCTGAAATCTTTCTTCGCAAAACCTCACTAGGGGCCCCCTTCTATCTGCTCCAATCCTCCTTGAAATATTAAGATAAAAATACTGGCCTACCTTATAGAGCTGTTGTAGGGATATGACAAGCGTTTATGAGAAGCACTTTGAACACCAAAAGTGCAATATAATTGCCAAGTATGAGTGAGTCATGGGCCTGTCCCTCTGTCTCTATGAAACTGGGGGAGGAACACATCCCGTTCCAGAGCAATAGGCCCCACAGACCCTAAAGATAAACCATGCCAGGCAACCTGAGAGGCCTGTTACGTAACACCCGCATATCTGGTGTATTAGACACAGAGACATACAGCTGGAAGGTACTCCAAGGGCCATCTAGCCCAGGACGGGATGCTAGACTAGATGGACCATGATGGGTCTGATCAAGCAGTGCTCTTATTTATTTATTATTTATTAATCACATTTATACCCCGCCCTCCCTGCAATGCAGGCTCAGGGCAGCTCACAGTCAGTACATAAAATACAGTTAAACCCACATAAACCCATATAAAACACTTATTAATACAGTTTCATAAAGTGTTCTTGATGTTCTTATCAGGGGAAGGCCTTGGCCTATGTGCCCTGTTGCGGGCCCTCTAGAGGAACTGGTTGGCCACCGTGTGAGAGACAGGATGCTGGACTAGAGGGACCCTCACTGGTCTCATCCAGCAGGGCTCTTCTGATGTTCTTCTCAGGGGAAGGCCTCGGCCTCTATGGCCTGTTTCTGGCCCTCCAGAGGAACTGGTTGGCCATTGTGTGAGATGGGATGCTGGACTAGACAGACACTCACTGGTCTGATCCTGCAGGGCTCTGCTTATGTTCTTCTCAGGGTGAAGTCCTCAGCCTCTCTGCCCTGTTGTTGGCCCTCCAGAAGAACTGGCTGGCCCCTGTGGGAGACAGGACACTGGACTAGATGGACCCTCCCTGGTCTGATCCAGCAGGGCTCTTCTGATGATCTAATGAAGGCCTTGGCCTCTGTGCCCTCTTGCTGGCCCTCCAGAAAAACTGGCAGGCCACTGTGGGAGACAGGACACTGGACTAGATGGACCCTCCCTGGTCTGATCCAGCAGGGCTCTTCTGATGTTCTTATCAGGGGAAGGCCTCGGCCTCTCTGCCCTGTTGTTGCCCCTCCAGAGGAACTGGTTGGCCACCGTGTGAGATGGGTTGCTGGACTAGAGGGACCCTCATTGGTCTGATCCAACAGGGCTCTTCTGATGTTCTTATCAGGGGAAGACGTCGGTGGGGGAAGGCCTGTTGCTGGCCCTCCGGAAGAACTGCCTGGCCACTGTGTGGGACAGGACGCCGAACTAGATGGCCTCTCAGTGGTCTGACCCAGCAGGGCTCTTCTGATGATTTAATGAAGACCTTGGCCTATGTGCCCTGTTGCTGGTCCTCCAGAAAAACTGGCGGGCCACTGTGGGAGACGGGACGCTGGACTAGATGGACCCTCACTGGTCTGATCCGGCATGTCTTCTTATGTTCTTAACTCCCTGCGCAATGCAGGACATTTCACAGCTATCGCCTCTCCCACTCCCCCAGTGAGACCTGCTCAGTGCCCAGAGGCATTAGATGGGCCTCACCGTTCAAAAAGCCTGTTGATGGAAACGTGACTTACATTCGCTGTGGGAACCATCTGTGACATCCACAGCAGTTCCTGTCGGTTACGCAGGCAGGTAGAAAACCAGCAGGGACCGAACCCAACCCTCTAAAGTCACCTGGAAGACACACCTTTGCTAAGCTGGCCTCTGGCCACCAGGAACGATCACCACGTTTACAGCCAAGTTAACCGGGATGCTTCCATTCCCTCTGGGTTTCCAGTGCCAAAGGCCCTGGCTTAATGCCAGGAAATGGGTGTACCTGAGAGTATCCTCATCACCGCTGCTTCTTGTCCTGGCCGGAAGGAGTCGTAGCCCAGTTCAGACAGAGCGTGGAGCACTTCCGGAGGGGTCTCTGTGCAAAACACAGACATGCCCAAGTCAGAAGTGGTGCCAGATGGCATCTCCGAAGGGGGAGGGGGTTGCGATGGTCTTGGGGAGAAAAATTAAGAAGAAAAATAAGGGCCTGTCGACTTACAGGAAGTCCTGACCACAGAGTTCCTGACAAAACTCTACAGCAACCTTACCACACGATTGCTAGAGCCACCCTCGTCTCTTCTGGGTAGCTCTAGAAATCATCAGGAACTCCGTGGTCGCAACTTCCAGTGAGCTCTAGAAATCGTCAGGAACTCTGTGGCCAGTACTTCTGTTAAGTGGCTGAGACTTGATTTTTCTTTTCAGTTTTTCTCCTGGGACACCGCCCCCATCCCACAACCCTCCCACCTGTTGCCTGGCAACCCTACGTCCACCACAGTACAGGACCCTGTGATGGTTTGGTTCCATAAGGAAGGACCACTTGTGTTGCGTCATGTCCGCACTGGGCTGTGTGACCAGCTCTGTCTCCCTCATGAGGATCTGCAACCACTCTGCTTCAGTGGCGCAACAGAGAACTCCTCTGCAAGCCTTACCTCTCACCTTCCCGTCTTGTCCCAGCTTGTAGAGAGGCTGCAGTGGTGCAGGCGGAGGGGGAAGATTGCACACGGGCCTCAGCACATGCAGGTACCCCTCTTCCTCCTCCTGTTTCGGAGCTCCTGGGCTGCTCTCACAATGACCGGCTGAGGAGGGAAAAACACGGCTGAAGAGATAGCATTTTCGTTCTCTCCCTCAGTCTGGACGATGCACTTTTGGGTGGCAAGCACAAGGTGAGTCAACTCTCCAAAGGTAAGAAAATTAAAAACGGGGGGTTGGATCCTGACAATCCATTCTGCTACGGGCGGCACTCTGATAGAACGGGTGGAACAGTCCGCCTCGGGAGGTGGTGGATGCTCCTTCGCTGGACGTTTTCAAGCGGAGGCCGGACAACCATCTTTCGGTATTTTTTTTTTTTTAAATCCCCGGAGGACTATTTTTATTATTTTTTATAAGACTACCAACTACAAAGAAAATATGAGGGAAAGGGACTACATCTAAGGATAAAGGAAAGATAACCACACTATACTAAAAACCCAAGGGACTCTTGAGAGTCCCTTGGACTGCAAGAAGATCAAATCAGTCAATCCTAAAAAAAAATCAACCCTGACTGTTCCCTGGAAGGCCAGATAATGAAACTGAAGCTCAAATACTTTGGCCACCAAATGAGAAGGGAGCCCTCACTGGAGAAGACCCTGATGCTGGGAAAGATTGAAGATCAAAGAAGACGGGGACGGCAAAGGATGAGATGGTTAGACAGTGTCATCGATGCAACGAACACAAAATTGAGCAAACTTCAGAGGATGGCAGAAGACAGGAAGGCCTAGCATGATCTGGTCCATGGGGTCGCGAAGAGTCGGACTCGACTGTGCGACTGAACAACAACAACAGGAATGGGTCTCTCCAGGGGTCATTTCCTGCAGGAGCGCACAGGAGCGGAGCTCCAGTAGTAAAGAGCCCAGGGTGCGGGCACATGCAACAAGCCCCACCCCCTGCTCCTAGCAGCCCTGAGTCAGAGTAAGAAGCAGCCAGATAAGTTGCAGCGCCCCTCCCCGGTTCAAAACAGTCCAGTGGCACCTTTAAGACCAAGTTTTATTCAGGCACAAGCTCTCCCTCCTCTACGAGGACAGATCTGCACGTCCCCCCCCCCCAATAGCTAGCAATCCAAAACTGTCCAGTGGCGCCTGAGCGGTGGGTGTTGCCTTCTGACACACGTCCGGTGATGTCAGGGGGTGTGGCATATGCAAATGAGTTATGCTAATGAGCTATGCTAATGAGCTCCTGCAGCTCTTTTTCTACGGAATGACCCCTGGGTCTCTCTATGCTCAAAGGTTTTCAGTTGGGAGAAATGAATCCTAGTGGCGTTTCCACCGCACCCTTCGCCTCCTACCTGGGATCTTGCAGTAGGCCGTGTTGGTCATCTCGGCCACTTCTTCCAGGGTGAGCAGCGGCACCTCCTCTTCTGCTGTATGGCCACTTCCCTCCTGTTGGGGGTCACCGCTAGCTGGGAGCTGTTCTGCCGCTGTAGTAAAAGAAAAGGGGGAAGGGGGTCTCGTCAGCTTCTACGAACATGGTCAGGGACGTATGTGTGCATCCTCTACCAGAAGTGCTGTGCCGAAGGGAAGACACGGGACAGTGGAGAGGGAGGTCATTGTTTCATCCAAAGTAGAGTGAGCAAGGGTTCCAAACAAACCAAGCCAAAGCTGAGTATTGAGACTGCCCAGAAGAGGAGGCTCTCTCAGTCCTACAACGGCTCTGTTCAGCAAAACGCTTCCTCCCCTCTCGGAGAAACGTTTTGCCACGAATTCTCAGACGCGCTCTGTTTGGAGAGTCCACGGCTGTCTTCATCTCACTCTGACCAGGATTGGATTTTGGATTTTCTCCCTCCCAGTCTTCCTCTCCTCATCAGCTTTCCCCACGTCCAGGGACAACATCGCCACCCATCCTGCCAAACGGGCACGGAGCCTGTTGTCCGTCCTGAGCCTACTGCCCACCTGGAACCTGCCTCTGGGTCTGGCCGTGGAAGCCGGATAACCTTACCTCTCCCCTTGCACTGTGAAGCCCAGTGACCCAGCCCTCCGCATCTGAAGCAGGTATCGCAGCTCCGGTCTAGGTGCCGGCCTCCTCCTCCTCCTCCTCCAAACTGCTCTCCCTTTTTCTGCCACTTCTGCTTCCATACCTACAAAGACACCAAGAGGCAGGCTTAAGTCCACAGACGCCCTCCACCCTCCCTACAGCCCAGTGATTTCAGGCTGCGCCAGGGGTCATTCCGTAGAAAAAGAGGCACCTTTAAGACCAAGGAGCTCATTAGCATAACTCATTTGCATATGCCACACCCCCTGACATCACCGGACGTGTGTCAGAAGGCAACACCCACCGCTCAGGCTCCACTAGACAGTTTTGGATTGCTACCTAGTGGGGGTAGGGGGAGAACGTGCAGATCTGTCCTCGCAGAGGAGGGAGAGCTTGTGCCTGAATAAAACTTGGTCTTAAAGGTGCCACTGGACTGTTTTGAGCCGGGGGGGGGGGGGCTCTGCAACTTACCTGGCTGCTTCTTGCTCTGACTGAGGGCTGCTAGGAGCAGGGGGTGGGGCTTGTTGCATGTGCCCGCCCCCTGGGCTATTTACTGCCGGAGCTCCACTCCTGTGCGCTCCTGCAGGAAATGACCCCTGGGCTGCGCTATGGGGAGTCGTTCTCTTCCCTTCTGTGCAACGTGGCCTGCCCCTTCCTGTGTCGCTTGACTTGCAGGGCCAGGAGCGGGTGGGGGAAGGTTGAAGCTAGCCTGGCTTGCCCATCCCCATCCAGTTTGTCTCCACCTGGTCCCCAGGGTGCCAAATACTTCCAGGCTCATTTCGTATCAAGTCATAAAGGTGATTCTCCAGTCTAACACGTGGGAAAGGGGTCAAAGACTAGAACAAAGAAGCCACTTGGAGAGAGATCTTAATTGGTTTATTCGCTGCAGATCCAGATACCGGCACCTGCTGAGCAGTGTTCCCTCTAAGCCGAGTTAGTGTGAACCAGCTCACAGGTTTTTAGCCTCCGGCTCACATTTTTGTCTTCGCTCAGGAAAGGATGGCTCCAGAGCAAACTACTTTATGCAGTAGCCATATTGCTCATGCACAACTTTAATGCCAATAGCTTATAAAGTAGAATTTTTGCTCACAAGACTCCACAGCTTAGAGGGAACATTGCTGCTGAATAGAGTACCAATTTCTCCTGTGCCGAAGCCTGTGTATTATAAGAGCACCGTGTGTGTCAAGATGAAAGGGCATTTGGCTGCGTCTAATGGAATTTTTGCTCACAAGACTCCAACATAAGAGAAGCCAGTGTTGGATCAGGCCAATGGCCCATCCAGTCAAACACACACAGTGGCCAAAATTTTATTTATTCCACTTATACCCTGCCTTTTTTGCCGAGACTAAAGGTGGATTCCAGAATATAAGAATGATGCAGACAGACAGTCTAAAGCATTAAATGCCAAAGGACGATAGCCTCAGTTTACGATAGCCTTCATTTTATTGCAGTACTGAACCATAATCTCTCGTTTGTCAAAATTCAGTTTTTGCTCATGCAGAACAATAGCCGTGCAGACCGCCGAAAGAGACGAGAAGGCAAAAATCAGCAGATCCAAGACCAGTTCATTATGTTTCAAAAACGTTTCGAGCATGAAATGCTTTGCCTCAAGGGAATCGGAACAACATAAAGTAAAAAAAAAAATGCACCGACCGACTTCTGAGCTGAATTCAGTCTCCCCCAGTTTATTCTATGGTTTCCCTGAGTATAGAAAAACTGCTCTCCCGTAACTGGCCACCCGTGCAGCATCGAGCCCCTGCAACCTTGGCTATGTTTAGTCTGGCTTCTCCTCTCCCGTCGAGAGGCGATTTACCTGCTTCCGCAGCAGCCTTCCTTTCAAGGCATATCCTTTCACGTGAGATTTCTTCTTGAGGTTGAGACGGACAAAGTTGCCAACTTTCTTGGACGGTGCCCTGAAGACAAAGAAAGGCTTCCTCTATTTTAAGGAGTCACGACATTGCGCTTGTATCTATTTACAGCATTTATAACCCCACCTTTCTCCCCAATGGGGACCCAAAGCAGCTTGCAACCCCTCCCCACCCCATGCATATTTATCTGTTTTGTTTCACGTGGAGGTTTATACCACTGTTGGTTTATTTTTGTGACTGTTCTATTTTCTCGTGTGTTGCCTTGAAGGATTTTCCTGAGCAGAGAGGCCGGGCACCGATTCCATCAATAAAACTGTTGCACAGGCCTGGTCTTGTGCCGCTCAGAGTCTCTTACGCAGAAGGGAGGCGGTGTTCCCTCTAAGCTGTAGAGTCTTGTGAGCAAAAATTCAGCTTTGTGAGCTACTGGCTTCGCACTTGTGAGCGAGCGATTTGGCTGCTGCATAAATTATTTCACCCTGGAGCCATCCTTCCTGAGCTATGGCAAAAACGTGTGAGCCAGAGGCTAAAAACCTGTGAGCTAGCTCACACTCACTCAGCTTAGAGGGAACACTGGATCCCACTCTCCCCAGGTCAAAGAACCATGGGAACATGCCACGCCCCTGGGTGGGTCACTGCCTAACAAATAGTAAAAAGCTCAGTAGCACCTTTAAGACTAACAAACTTTACTGTGGCATAAGCTTTTGAGAAACACACTGCTCTCATCTGACAAAGAGAGCTGTGTTTCTCGAAAGCTTCTGCCACAGCAAAGTTTGTTGGTCTTAAAGGTGCTACTGAGCTTTTTACTACTCTGCAGCAACAGATTAACGTGGCTGACTCCTCTGGATCTATGCCTAATGAATGAAGCTTCACAGTACCCCCATGCCAGAGCAACAAGGTTGGATCCACACAAGACCCACTACATTGCATGCTGTATAGCCTCCGCCGCTCCATCTTTGTTACAGGCTGGTGCTCGACCTTTCGTTGGCCTGAGTTCTGTGAGGGGCCCGGCTGCCAGGGTGCTCCCGAGAGAATATTCTGCTGTCTCATGCTTGTCAGTAGCTCTTATCTAGAAAGACTGATTTGTCTGCTCTCACCACAAGACACTAGGTGCGAGAGGGCCTGGCTCATCCTAGTGTCTGAGAGAGCTTGATGGGTTACATTTTGACTCATAGCCAGCACTTAGGATATAAGATGCTTTGTTTTAGCTATGTATCTCGCCTCGGGTTCTGGCAAGCTTCGCTGTGCGGGTGCGTGCTCCCGGCCCAGTGGATGGGAGCTTAGCCTGCCATTTCTGTAAGTTTGGTGCTTTATTGAAATCTCCTTGTAAGCAAAATCTGGATCTTGCATATTATTTCCTTGGGATTTCTGCAAAACCTGGAACTCCTGGCCAAAGCGCCAAACACATACCTACATGTTTTGCTTCTGAACACATTATCATTCATGACCACAGCCCAGTGTCATGTGCTTCTGCTACAGGCTGACCTTCATTTTTAGTCTCTGCATCACGCTGCACTGTGCAAATGTGAACCTTAGAGATCTTCAGGGCGGACAAAAGGAAACACTACTCTACAAAGAGAGTGATTAAAATGTGGAATTTACTGCCAGAGGATGTAGTGATGGCCACAGGAATAAACAGGGGATTAGATTCATGGAGGACAAGGCTATCAATGGCTACTAGCCATGTTGACTGAAGGGAACCTCCACATTCAAAGGCACTAAGCCTCTGAATCCCAGAGCCAGGAGGAAACATCAGGGGAAGGCCTTAGCCTCTCTGCCCTGTTCTTGGGCCTCAGGAGGAACTGGCTGGCCCCTGTACAGGACAGGATACTGGACTGGATGGACCCTCACAGGTCTGATCCAGCAGGGCTCTTCTGATGTTATTTACAAGGGGAAGGCCTCTGCCCCTCTGCCCTGTTGTTGGCCCTCCAGAGGACCTGGCTGGCCCCTGTGTGAGACAGGAAGCTGGACTAGAGGGACCCTCACTGGACTGATCCAGCAGGGCTCTTCTGAGGTTCTTCTCAGGAGAAGGCCTCGGCCTCTCTGCCCTGTTGTTGGCCCTCCAGAGGACCTGGCTGGCCCCTGTGTGAGACAGGAAGCTGGACTAGAGGGACCCTCACTGGACTGATCCAGCAGGGCTCTTCTGAGGTTCTTCTCAGGAGAAGGCCTCGGCCTCTCTGCCCTGTTGTTGGCCCTCCAGAGGACCTGGCTGGCCCCTGTGTGAGACAGGATGCTGGACTTAGATGGACCCTCACTGGTCTGACCCAGCAGGGCTCTTCTGATGTTCTTATCAGGGGAAGGCCTCGGCCTCTCTGGCCTGTTGTTGGCCCTCCAGAGGAACTGGCTGGCCACCGTGTGAGACGGAATGCTGGACTATATGGACCAGCTGTGGCCATATTTCCTTTCAGCATGGCTGTATTTGCTTCAAGCTGGGCTGACTGTGCTGCGGAGCCATCCCCCCCAGCCCCACACCCTTACAACGTTTTTTTTAAAAAATCACATCCAGGACAGATATAATGAAACGGCGTTTTAGGAGTCATTACTGAAACCCTTCTCTCCCCACATTCATCTTCCCCTGGAGGCTACAGCTCTAGTGGCTGCATTCTGTCCTGAAAAAGGAATCCAGGTTGGCCATTGTGTGAGACAGGATACTGGACGAGATGGACCCTCACAGGTGTGATCCAGCAGGGCCCTTCGGATGTTCTTAACAGGGGAAGGCCTCGGCCTCTCTGCCCTGTTGCTGGCTCTCCAGAGGAACTGGCTGGCCACCGTGTGAGACGGGATGCTGGACTAGATGGACCACCCGTGGGCATATTTCCTTTCAGCACAGCTGTATTTAGTTCAAGCTGGGCTGACTGTGCTGTGGAGCCACCCCCCCAGCCCCACCCCCTAACATCTTATTTTAAAAAATCACATCCAGGACAAAGAGTGATATAATGAAACAGCGTTTTAGGAGTCATTACTCAAACCCTTCTCTCCCCATATTCATCTTCCCCTGGAAGCTACAGCTCTAGCGGCTGCATTCTGTCCTGAAAAAGGAATCACAGAACTATGCGCAACGTGTAATTCCACACTTAATGAGGCTTTGCTTGATCAGTATTGACCTGGAATCGTGCTCCAATCACGTGGCTCAAAGCAAGCAGGCAAGAGTTATGCTCAAGGGATGTCCTCTGTCTTAGCACGAAGAATCTTCTAAGCAACCCCACAGGCTGTTTCTCGGACCCCTAATGGGAGTAAATCAGTTTAGAGCTCCAGCGTTTCCCTTCCCAAGACATACCTGTGAGTGGGGATGCTGGACCGCCCACTCCGCTCGGGACGCTCCTCCTCCACCTCCCCAAGCAGGTTTTCTGAGTAAACGGGGGCAGCTGTCCCTTTTCCCTCTTGCTCCTCTGCAGCATCCTGACAGTCGAAGTCATATTCGCTGAGCCCGTGCTTTTGTGCGACACCGCACTGTTTTTTGGCTGGGCTCTCCCTAGCTAGTTCTGTAGCTCTCTTGCGCTTCACGCCTGAGTTGCCACCTTTGGAACGGTCCGTAGTGCCTCCCGTGTGAGCGACCGTATCCCGTAGGTCTTTCCGGCAAGAGGCTTTATCTCTCTTGTTAGGGCGATGCCTGTCGTCTGCTCCACTAAGAGCACTTTCCGTCTTTGCTTCCAGAAGCTGTATCTCCATCTGCTGAGTGGCAACCTGGTTATTATGGGCATACTTGACCGAGGAAGATACAGTGTTGTTGCATCCAGTTGTTGCTTCTTCATTAGGGATCATGCCTACAGTTTGGCTCTCCTGCACACATCTGTCTTCAGCACAGCAGATGGGCTTCTTTTTCAGGTCTTCTGGATCTTGTCCTCCGGGGGAATGATGACGATACGCTACCTGCTCTCTCTCCCCACTGTGGGAGAGGGGAAGGGTCTCCGAGGACTTGTGTTCTGGTGATCCCTGGCCTTGAGCGGCCCCACTGATTCCCCCAGGACAGCCGTCTCCTCTCAGACCCTCTGCAGGAGGCAGTCCTGCCCCTTGGCACCTGTCCAGCCAGCCAGCATCCAGGCTGCTCAGCCGCTTGGTCACCGTCTGTTTCAGCTGCTGAAATTTA